CAAGGAAAGGGTAATTTATAACTCATAAAGGCACATATATGAGGGTACTTCAGAAAGTTCATGGAAAAATGACTTGGTTTAAATCTCTGAGGGTTGGCAGATGAGTGTCAGGAAGGCATTGAAGATGATGCTCAGGATTCTGGCATGAAAGACTGAATGGATGATGGTGCCATTTACCAACAAAATAGAAATGATGGCGGAAGTTGGGGTGGGAGTCCCAGGCGGGAGCAGAGATTAATTTGCTTATTGTTTACGCCCCTTGTCCAATCTCTTCCCATCCCCCTCGCGCTCCCCCTACCCCCCTCTGATAACCCTAGATTTCTTCTCTCCTTCTGAAAGGGTAACAGTTACTCTGTTGATTTTCTGCCTAGATGATCTGTCCAATGCTGAGAGAGGTATGTTCAGGTCCCCCACTATTATCATAGAGCAGATGCTGCTTCTGTCATTCTGGAATGGGCTTTGTGGAGAGAGACATTCTTTTCTTTTCTTTGGTCTCTGCTGGTGATTCTCCTTGTGACTCTTCTTGTGTCAATGCACTCGAGTGGCTGGCACCATCTGCAATGGTGGTTGTGGTGTCTAGCCACTTATGCAGCAGCCATGGCTATTGTGGTGGCTGTGGTGTGTCACCCACACGAAAGTGATGTTTTTGGTGTGCTCCTTGTCTGGTTGTGGGAGGAGGGGTCAATCCCTGGATCCATGCCTCAGGATCCTGAACAGGCCCCATGGCAGCAGTAGCATGCCTGGTTGCAGGAGGAGGGGTCATCCCCGGCTCTATACCTCAGGATCCCAGGCAGGCAGCATGCCTGGATGTGGGTCATCTGTTTTTACATTCTAAGATGTTGTTGCAGAGCAGTTGGGTGGGAGAGGGAGAGGAAGGGGGAAAGAAATAGGGTGAGAGAAGGAGGAAGGGGGGCATGGTTGAGGCCGTGGCCAGCCCCCTCATTCCTGCAGGGGAGACCAGGGGGCTTCCAGTTCTTCTAGGTTTTATAGGTATTCTTTGGTGAAGTGAGACCTTTACTAGTTAATATCAAACTTTGTCTCTGGTTTGTGGGTATTTTGTTTTTTCTTTCAGTTCTATGTTGGATTATTTGCTGTTCCCACCACTTAAACTGTGCACTGGAACTAATTTGTTGGCCTTTGCTTACTTCTAAAATGGGGGAACTTCCTGTGGGGACCAGCACTTGAACCCTGTGGTTGAGCTAAATTGCTGCTTTTCTGCTGATTCCCTGGGGAAGGCTTTTTGTGCAGCTCAGGTTTTAGTGGTTGACTTTGTAGGTACTTATGGGTGTCATGAGATCCAGTACACCTGGGTTATGTGGAAACTCTGGTCTGGACCTGAGTCTTTTCAGCAAATTGTACCCCCTACAGTTCTATTTTCCTGATCAGTCTCCACTGAGTGGTCCTGTGCTAATTGGGGGGCAGACCAGCTGTCCCTGGTGTGCCCCTGTGTTCCTCAGGTGGGTCCATCTCCCCCAGCGGCCACACTCCAAACACTTCCCATGGGACAGGCCATGTGCCAGTCCCTTGCAATGACTCAGTGGCCTCTGAGTGGCTCCTTTTTTTAATTGTTGTGGCTCCTCACTCCTGTGTGGGTCCACGGGAACCCTGTTAGTGGTCTTGCTGGCCTGAGGGCCACCAAGGCCTTCTTCTCCCCTGCTGCCTCCAAGCAACTTCATATGAAGGGCACAGCAGTGGCTCTTGCCAGCTCTTGCTCCATGCGCTCACCAGCTCCAGCCTTAAGCAGCTGGGATTTGAAATGGTAGGAGCTATCCTTTCTTTCTCTCGTGGCTTCTCCTGCCTTCGTGCACTTCATAGGTCTCTTCTCCCCTTCCCCTGAGCTCTAGCAGCCCCAGCTTGGCTGTTGTTGTTTTTTAATAGTTGCAAATTGGTACATTTGTGGGAGAGGGTGACACTGGGGACCATCTGTTCTGCCATCTTGACTGGAAGCCTACAAAGTGTTTTCATATGTTATTATATTTAATACTCAGAACCCTATGAGTCAAACCAAGTATTGTTCTCATTTTTAAATATGAGGAAATTCATATACCCTTGGCAAGAATTTTTTTTTTTTTTTGTCCTTTTTGAGACCGGCTGCACCGCACTCAGCCAGTGAGTGCTAGTGAGCGCACCGGTCATCCCTATATAGGATCCGAACCCGTGGTGGGAGCACTGCCGCGCTCCCAGCGCCACACTCTCCCTAGTGCGCCATGGGCTCGGCCCCTTGGCAAGAATATTTTATGTATCTCTGATACATCTGTAGGCAGAGACAGCCCTATTGTTAGTCTCTGAATTCTCTCTCTCATGTCCTTAGTAATATTCATAATCAGCCAATGAAAAATCTATTTAATCTGAATTCAACTTGTACCAGTTTTTGAGATGCTCTTGAGTTACATATTTCAAGATGGCTTAGGAATGAAGTTGACCTACAGTTCTTGAGTGTAGTGCATCTTTTCTTGCCTTAATAGAATACTGGTTTATATCGACCATAATGTAAGCTGGTTTACAAGTTAAGAAGCAGCAGTGATTTAAAAAAAAAAAGTAATACATATAACATGATTTGAGTACTAAAATACGTAAGCTACTCCAAGCTTTGTCATTTACTACAGGAACACCTTCTTCTTCTTTTTTTTTTTTTTAAAAGATGACCGATAAGGGGATCTTAACCCTTGACTTGGTGTTGTCAGCACCACACTCAGCCAGTGAGCGAACCGGCCATCCCTATATGGGATCCGAACCGGGGGCCTTGGTGTTATCAGCACCGCACTCTCCCGAGTGAGCCACTGGGCCGGCCCCAGGAACACCTTCTTTTTTTTTTTTTCGTTAAATTTTTATTTTGTCAATATACAATGTATATGATTATTATGGCCCATCACCAACACATCCCTCTCTCCTCCCTCTCTCCCCTCCCACCCAAGAATGTCCTTTCCATTT